TACGACTTTGAAACTTAAGTTTTATAGTCTTCTTTGTTCTCTCATATTTGTCGTAGTTGGGCAAGTAGAATTTTCCAGATATCTGGGACAGGTGTTGAATCATTCCTACTACACGTGTCGGTTTGCAGTTGATTCGATAAACAAAGCTTCTGTTATCAATCTCTCCCTCCACACTGTGACATTAGATTTTAAAACTGTCATCTTATCCCATCCTATTGTATGGTTGTGTGTAACTGCATGTAGTGAGTGGTGTAGCTGAACTATTCTCTAGATTTCTTATCTTACTCTGGTCAACTAATTTAGATTTTGCAAGGTTTTTATGTTCGGCTAGTCTGACTGCCACTGTTCTACTAGTTTAACCTAAGCATTTGACCTGACAATCATTACAGGCAGGGTATTAGATAAACTAAATTGTTTTGTTTTATTGGCTTCACAGGATTGATCCTTTAACTGACAAAGCTTGTTTCTAATTGAGTTTTTGGATTTGAATGCCAGCCAATTTTATTCTGCGAAAGGTTTCTGAGGTTCCTTGCTTGTATGGAATTACTACTATTGATTTAGATTCCTTATTGTTAGAGGAAGACAACACCAAGTCTTTTTCAGCCTCACTGAACAGTTGCATGACAATGCCACGTGTCTGTTGATTCACAACAGGAAAACAGTGAGGCGTTCAAAGTGCATACAGGAGTAACACAAGACTGCCTATTATCACGATGATATTCTTCATTGTGGTAGACTGGAGCCTGCGTCGGACTGTACGTCGGGAGAGAGGAGATAGGAATACACTGGACTACCGATATTAAGACACTGGAAGATGTGGATTTAGCAGATGATTTATGCGCAATGTAACATAATCTCAAAGATTTGCAGAAGAAAACCAACAAACTCGTTGGAGATGCAGCGAAGACGGGATTGCGGATGAATATAGAGAAGACAGATGTGATGAAGATACCCAAGCACCGGCAGCGGCAGCAGCCAGCACCAATCATTATCAACGGAAAAGACGTGACCACCTTTTTAGGAAGCACAGTTTCAACCACAGGCGGAATGGATGAAGATGTCACAACCAGGGAGAATCAGATTGGCAAAATACGCCCACATCAAACCAGATTAGAAGTCTCACTCAACTAGAATAAACAACAAAATATGAATTTTCAGCACAAATCTCAAGTCAGTCACTTCTCCCATACCGGTCAGACACTTGGCCTGTGCGTCTTGAGGAGGATTTCCAACAGACCACTGCAGACTTTTATCAACAGATGCCCCCTTTCGCTGACTGGTTTCACACTGTAGATTAAATGGCCAGCCAAAAACAATTAGCAACAAGAAACTCTGACTGAGTACAGACCAACCGAGAACCTATTGTCCAACAGGTGTGTAGGAGAAAATGGAGGTGGAATGGGTACACTCCGTGGAGACCGTCAAATGGCATCACGCACAATACAGGTGGCTGCTAGAGTGGAACGCGAATAGGAAACAACGAGTGGGTTGTTAGTATGAGGGTGACATGGAGTAGATCGTGTGAGTTTGGGGAGTAGATGAGAGCCACTAGGTAATCGTGAGCCAAGCCAAAGAGGACAGCAGAAAACAGAACAAAGTAGTGTGTAGATCCAACTGTATGTTCCGCTCAGAAACCACGGGAACAATAATAATTATAATAATAATACAATTAAATAACTAACTGTATTAGGCGTTATTTTCCCACTTACCTTGAGAAAAATGCACTGGAATAAAGTGAAGAAAAAGAACCCACTGAAAGATAAGCAAATAAATAATAAAATTCTGTTAAGATATTGTACTGAAATGTATATTCAACTTGTTATTAGAACTGTAGACAATTTTAGCAGTGTTCTGTTTTATTTGGTTGACAGCAGAAGTGATTTATTTTGCAATTTATATACATTTTTTCAAGTCATAATATATATTGTCATGCAGTGGAACTAACTGTAAACTGTCCGGCCAATAAATAACTAATTCAGCATCCAGGGTGGGATCAGTAGACACACCTTACACTGAAAGGTATTATGCAACACTGTAAAATATGTAACAAAAAGTAATTAAATTATTATTTAGGGGCATCAAATGAAATTCTGATTTCATCCTAGCATTTTGTGAGTGTTTTTTCGCCTATCAAATATGTCAGTGATTGCTACACTATAAATAAACAGGGTGAATAATACGGAATAAGTGCTTCAGCTTTGGCTGCGGATTGATATCAGTCAAAGAAACATTGAAAACCAGCATGAAGTACTGGACAGATGTTTCATCCTAGTTTCACCCTCATCATCAGTGCATACTAGCCGGGTTTCTAAACCAAGACTTTCTGCTGACTAGTCAAACTCGTAGACTATTCAGCCGTTGGGAGACCCAACTTAGTGAATTCTGATTTTTACTAATTCGTGACTAGCACCAGGCAATGTCACCGGCGAGTATTTGTCTTCACAATGAACAGGATCAACCCCAGTGGTTACGACTTCTCTGTAGAACGTCAGACAACTTGGTCCTGTAGCCAGCGAATATCGGGTATCAAATTCATTTTGAAGGATTTGGTTTGTTTAAAGTTTCGACATGAAACAAGTCCAATCTCTTAAAAATTACTCTTGATTAGGGCAACTGTGTTACAGTTGGTCTATAGGCACTACTCTGGGGATATTTCCAGCTTAAATCCAGTATTTCTGCTCTCTGACAGCTGCATCACTTTTACATAAATCACTACTTGAACTTAACTATTCGAAGCCTTAAACTGAAATCTTAAGTAGAGATCATAACTCCTAAAATGGATGATTATTCATGGACAGTGGATACTGGTAATTGTCTATTCGTATCATTCGCTTATTTCATTGCCAGCAGCTGATAGTCACACACTGTTACAGTGGCAATAATAGTGTACCACTGTGTGACTTTACCAAATAAAGTTACTCTATGATGAAATTTTCAAATTTTCGCCGGGAATTCGTACATGTAAGTGTGAAATTCCCATCATTGTCAAGAATAAGTGTGTAGGGATCTGCTTTTTCTCAAGTTTGACCATAGATTGATAATAATTAGAGAACCGCCGAAAGTCATAGATTGCTCAGCACCCGTTTCCAACTAGTCTAAGACTCATCGGCAGTATGCACCCACTGGGGTTGGAACGCAGTTCCTTCCAGTTACTGGGTAAGCTCTTATACCACAAAAAGAAATCGTATTCTATCCTTTCACTAAGTTTTATACATGAGTATATTGGTAATTTTCTCAGGCTGTTTGCAAAATTTAAGCTTTTTCAGATGGCGGCTATAAAGACAAATCATACTTATTCATTTATGTCTAACTGTATCCATCTAAAAAATTTCGGAATGTTTGTGCAGTGATTGAGATGAGGCAATAGGTATTTTCAGTCTTGTTTTTGTAGTTATCGTTGTTAGTGGGTACAGACTATTTCTGTGTTACTGATCACTGAGATATCACTGTTATTATAATCGTTTATCTGACCCAGTCTGACAAAGAGGTCTTGATTACGTGACCATTTTCTGATACGTCTGAATCTCCCACACTTATCCTCAGGAACTTTAAAACTACCCTTTTCCTATTTTATGAAAACTCACCTAAGTTTCACAGAATCATGTTTATGAGACTTCATTCAGTGTAAACACTTAAATTCTCAAGAGTTAGTTTGTAATAGTGAATTATGTTTTAACGAGTTTGACCACGGATTGATATCAGTTGGAGAACCATTGGAAAACCACTCGAGGAGTACTCGACAGACAACTGTTTCGTCCTGGTTTCGGAATCATCGTTGGTAGGCACTCGCCGTCAAGGTCCAAATCCAGGACCTTTCGGTTACAAGGCAAGTTCGTATACCATCCAGCCACTGGGACCCTATCCAGTTGCCAGTCTACGAATCCTAACTTCTACTAATTCGTGACTTAGCGCGACCACCAACCAATGTTATCGGTGGGGAATCCATCCTCACCCTAGTGAGTGCGTAATGCCAATGATTCCCAAACTAGAACGATATGAACAGCTGTCCAGTACTCCAGCGCTAGTTTTCAATGGTTCTCTAACTGATATCAGTCAATCCGTGGTTAAACTTAAATTCTTACCAATATCTATCTCTGCCTTATACTATGCCCGTATTTCACTTGGTATACAACTGAACGATAACACACACTATTATCCTGTGTATGCTGTCTACTAATGCATTGTTAAAGCAATCTGTAGAGAAAGGTGAAATTTTTACAACTAGTTAAATCTCTGGTCATGCATACACCACTTCATCTTTTTACTGTCAAGCCACCAGTGGAGAATTTTCTTCCACTAGGCGGAAAAAATTCTTTACCCTTTTTATCCATATTCAACAGACCACACTCGTTCAACTAAACAATAAGCGAAAGTCAGTGTTTCTTGAATTTATCAAACCTTGGATACACTTTCAGTTTCTTTTGCAAACAGCTGTTCAATAGAACACATTAGTCTGTTAATAATAATAATAATAATAATAACAATAATAATAATACTTTGTACAATTTACTTCCTGAAAATAATTTCCAGTGTTAAAAACAAAAAACATATGCTTACACACTCTTATTAGACACCTGTTTATTTATTACTCAATGTTCATGTTATCACATATGCAGTTTTTGTACATGCTCTGCATATTGAAAGTTTCATGTCTATCTATGTGTCTGTATGTACGCGTGTGCGTGTGGGCGCGTATGCATGTATACTTCTATGCGTATTTACAACATGTACAAGTTACGTCGAACCCTTGATTTAACTTACTTATCATAGTGAACTACTCTTCCATATGTATGTTAAGACTTTGGGAAAGATAAGCATTCTTAACAGAAGTGAGTGATTTTCAGGCTAAGGATTTGTTCGTTTTCGTGTACGTGTCATATATATAACTACCTTGATATTGCTTTCATCTGCTAGTTACTTGGCTGCTTTGAATCTATTTCTTTTTGTAATCCACTCATTGTACTCTTGTGTTTTTACTTTTCCTTTTTCTTTTTGTAAAGGTGTCTATCAAAACTTCAACTGAGTAATGTACATACAAGTGATAGTGCTAATTACACTTGTGTAGCGGAAAATTTAAACGGAGATATACACAAATCAGTACAAGTGATTGGTAAGTGCTACCTTATGTTTTTTCTCCTTACTAACATCTTTCACTGTCCGTGACAATTTTTTCATAAAACACAAAATAATTGAGCAATGAATATCCTTCTCGGTAATTTCCTCTTCTGTCTCTACAGTTATATACACATGTTTATATACATAGAATATTCTAGAATAGCAGTCAATAACAATATTAGTGTTTCTTAAATAATATCGATTTGTTAAGTAAGATCACAATGGAATTACAGTTCATTAAAGATCCTTGAATTACTATGATAATAAAGATATAATAGTAAATAGAATATCAACTAAAATTAAGAAACTTCTACAAAAATTGAGGATCATTCAAACTCAGATGGCCAAGGTAAGGATAATGTCTGAACTAGCTTCTTCTGAACACATAATTTACGCTTCTTAATGTGGATCCCAACAGCTAGCCTCAGCAGTATTTTGTAGTCGAACTGTTAAGGTGAAGTTAAGATTTGTTGGTATGTGGTAAATGACCCTGAAAGTTTGGTTAACATCAGTCTAGTGTTCTGTATCCACAAGATGAGAAAGAATAGCGCTAAGAATAGATTTTATTTGTCCTTTGCTTAACCACACATGGTGATGTTCGGACATTCGACAAGAAACATTTTTTTATAAACAAGCACCGTAGAAGAAGGTAGTGTTCATTTAAGTTACCAAATAAACACTATGCTGCTTTTAGAAATAGTTGTATGAAAAAAAGGCGTAGGCTCAAGGTATTTAAGTGACAATTGGTGGTTTATGGATGATTTAGGTCATATTTCACATAAACTCAAAGGTTTACAAGCAAAAATCAACAAGTTGGCTGAATGGATGCAGCGACGAAGATAAGGCTTCACGTGAACACACAGAAAAAGGAGGTGATGAGAATAACCAACCAACCAACAAGAGCAACAACAAATACCAGTCACCATCAATAGAAGAAATTCGGAAGAAATCACTTCCTTCACTCATCTAAACACCATCCTATCAACTACACACACACACACGACAAGCATAACAACGTCAAAACCAATCATGAATGGAAGGGAAGACAGACAATCTGAAAGCGGTGAGGAGGACATCTTCTTCACTGAGTAGGCAGAAGAAGAAGAATTGTATTTTGTAGACGAATGTAAAGTGAGTCAATTGTTCTATATGTGTGTGAGAGACTTTTCTTGTGTGTCACGGAAAGCATTTCGAATGGTCTTCTGCAGACGTCTGTCAAAAGCCGCTTTCTATGGAGCAATAGTGAATATCAGATGACTGATGGTTTGAGAGTGTTAACAACAATAAACTTCGAGAATGAAGCAATCAAGAATTGCTCACTGCTCAGCAACAAATAAGTTGTAGAAGGCGGAGATGGATTGAATCCACGCTGAGGAGTTTATTGAATGACATCACGCATTAGCTAGGCCATTACACGAGTGGAACGCGAACGAGAAACAACTCCCATCCATACGAATGTTATTTTCCAAAAAAAAAGTATGAGTGCTACGCTAGTACACCCTACTATCCTTGCATTAAAACCTATCTGCAGGAGTTTGTTCTTAAAAAATAGGCAAAATGTCAGAGTATTTTGGTTCAGTTTCGATCTTCACATCAGTTGACTAGACCAAGATTTTCAGCCACTATTAACATGTCAGCTCCTTAACGAACAATAACAATAATAATAACTGATGCCAGGTGTACAAGACATGGCTTTTGCGGCTTAAGTGGCGCTTGAGACCACGCATCTTGGGTTCGCCTTTCACTGGGAACTCTATCACTCACTAGGCGATGCTGGTACATCCAACTGATGAGTCCCAAATAGGAAGAAGTGTCCATCTTGGTTTCCACTGCAGACAGTTGATAAAAACATTTATTATGGTTTTTTAGGGATTTTGTTTGATTGCATGGACCATTTCATCATAGCACACGCACTACTGAAGAGTCTCAAACTAGGACGAAACAGCTGTTCAGTACTCCCAGGTTTTCCAGCGGTTCTTTAACTGATGTCAGCCCATGATGAAATCCTCCACGCAATCAAAAAGAAACATTTGTAACCTACAATTCGTCTGATAAAAATATTTTCAGGTAAACTTCCTACCCTACCTCAGCAAAAACTACTGAAATCCATGGAGAGTATTAATTCAGTGCTGATAGTTCATCTGGAAATAATCAGCAAAACGGGATGCTGACATATGCTTATTTATTCTGTAACCGATAGTGTACTTTTACTTCCTTATATTATATATTTTTTGTCTATTATTTCTAAAATAACATTGTAAAGAAGCACACAGACAAAATTCAATTGTTTCTCTTATATTCCTTGGCATTCCGAGTGGAACACACCCAGGGCTTCAAGCGTTGAAATTTAAAATTAGCAGTGGTGTTATTCTTTTTTTAATGAGATTTGATTCCTAGCCTCGCACCCAACCATCCCTTTTTTATACTGCGCTTACTACCGACTAATGGACGACTGGGAGTAAGTGCACCGACCGGGAATCAAACCATGAACCAAATGCAACGTGGTTGACAAGAATTCTGCTGCTTGACCACCTAAACATTACTAGTACTAATGCTGGTTGACAGCTATTCCCACCAACAACCGTATTTATCTGACACTTCTCATGTTTACTGACTTCAGACAATTTCCAGTGTCTTGTGCATCTGTGACAGAGCCACAGGACTCATCACAAGATCTGTGGGGATTGTTATAAAAAGAAACAACTAAAATTTTGTCATACACGCGGTTTTGAAGTGATGAAGCATAGCGGTTAGGACGCTCACCGACCATGCACATGGTCCGGGGTTCGATCCCCAGCTGGCGCACTCCTTTACCTCACTCAGCCAGAAGTAAAGCTGGTGAAGAGGAAAGGTTGGGCATGAGGCTAGCAACCCCATCTTGTCAAAATAAATACTGCTACAGAAACTTCAAGCCTCTAGCGTGAAGCCCTATGATCCACTGGGGAACGTGAAGAAAAAAAAGTCACAATCAGTTGTTAGTTACAGTTGTCATATGAAGAATTCACTGACGCCTGACAGGTTTAGATTGGCCGAAGAGGATCATATGAACTATGAACAAATAGATTCAGTTCACAACACAATGAAATTTCTAAGTGCTCATTCTAATCATTAGTCAGTGGTTTGGTAAAAGGGGGCTCCTTCTTACCCCAACTGTAAATCATTCCGATAAATATCAAGATTGTGATAGTGAACTAGTGTACTTCTTAGATTTACGTTTACGTTGTGCATGATAGTATTCTGAATTGCTGTTATTATTATCAGATAGCTGGAGGAGACCATCAGGAAGTCATGTGCCTAGATTTCGTGCTTGTCGGCACTCACTAATCAGCAAGGTGTATCTACAGCCTTCAAGGAACCAATGTCCCTCTGGGACTGCAACTCATGTCACCCTGTGGTGTAGTTAGAGACGTTACTACTGAACTATTGCGGCTGATGACCATCCTCATGTAGGACTGTATACGATAGCTTGATTGGACATTAGGTAAAAAGTGGATTGCGTGATACGTCTAGTCTTTTGCTTGGTGTAGACTGAGTTCTACAAGTCAAGTTATATTGTGAAATTTCAAAGATTACGACCGCTTTTTAATTTCACGTAAAGATTGAAATTATACTTTCAAGAAGGAATTAGACTGGAACACACAAATATAGATAAAGTATCTCATATAAGTCAGTTTTTAGTGAATTGTTTGTTTACAATGCATAGGTGGAAATATCTCGTACGTGGAAGGAGCCTTTTCCCTGCCGGTACTATAGAAATCTTGTCGTTGCAGAATCATCACTACAAGCGACCGGTATTATGATAAATATTTTTCAGTTGGTAATTCCCGGTATTTGAGAAGAACTCTAATTTGGTGAATTATTTGTTAATGTAATTTTACTTTCTTTACGTTCCAAGTGGAACATCTGGCTGCCAGATAGAGCTCTGAAGTTTCGGTAGCAGTGGACTTATTTTTTATTGGGTGGGGTTTCTAGTCTCACATCTAACATTCCCTCTTCATCTGCCTTACTACTGGCCATAGATCGAGCCCTGGAACACATGCGTGGTTGCTAGTGGATTCTAACTCTGAACCAACAAAGCATAATTTGATGAATAAACATGTACTTTTGTGTTTGTTAACGTGGAAACGACCTTGAGAAGGGATTCCACCAAAAAATAATCCGTCTTTATATTTGCACTATTAGAAAGGAAAAGTTAACTAATTTGTGTTTGTTTTTATTGTCATTTAGTGAGACCGAGAACTACCCTTCCACCGCCAACAACGACAACAACCAATTCGTTCGTCACACCGGAGGTGACCACTGTCGTCCCAGGTATGTCCGAAGTATTCAAGTGATTTTTTTTCTACAGATGTGTATTGCCTTGTAGAACAAAAATCTACACTAAAGTGTAACATTCTAACTGATAAAAGTAGTTATGGTGAGTACAGAGAAAAGTACTCATCCAGACATGAATATAAGAACAGTAAAGTTCAGCGAAGAGTCTATTTTTGGCGAATTCATTCAGTTGCATTTACAATCGCATTTATATATAATTATTTTTGTGTGTACATTAGGACTGTCAAACAAAAGTAAAATAAACATTAGTCAGGGTTACTGTTTACGTCATCAAAATCTTTCATAAATGTGATGAATAATCATATTTACAAATCTGAGGGAGGGGGTGAAGACTCCTAAGTATTGACAAGGTTTGCGTAATATAAAATATGATGTTAATGGATATATGTGTCCAAAAAATAAATTCTGTAATAGGTAGAAAGAGTGAATAAAGGGTTGATTAAGAAGAAGATGTTACTAAGACGCCATGTACAAATTCAAAAAACAATAAAAATAAAACAAAACATTATCAACGAAGTCGTAGAATTTGGAATTATACCCAGGGTAGAAGGAGCGCGAGAAGAAGTTTCTTCTGTGTGCATAAATCAGGGTTTCCTGTCCGGATCGCTAAGATCTCGGCAATTCAAAGTTTACGGATGCTTACCATTTTCAGGAGGCCTCTTTTGACTTTGTAGATGACTTTGAATGAATTCCCCTTACATAGTGAGTCATCTGTATTAAATATATGTTCAATTATAGCACTCTGTATTGATCCACTGTTACATTTTCGCACCCAAGCGGGATAACGTTCTTCGACTCTTCCAGATAAAAACGCATCGGACGACCAATATATCTCGCTCCACATGAGCAAGTGAATCGGTAGATACACAGACACATAGAAGTGGTCAAATACCGTAGTTTATCTTTAGAGTCGTTGAAGTACAATGGATGGCTTGAGAATACCAACCGTAATGTAGCAGCACGGAATGTTCTTTTCAGGGCGTTAGATAGTATTTTCTTTAGGATGTCGGCCAGAAGGTAGTCTTTCAATGTCATATTCATGTATAGCATCTTCTACGGCACAGAGATGGGTTGTTCTTTGCTGATTTTCAGCTATATATGTTTATCTATAAAGCGTGGTAGATAGCCATTCTCAAGTAGTGTCTTCTTCAAAAGAGTAATTTGGTGCTGACAATCCAAATGTACCCACACACACACAATCATTATTTATAAATGCGACTGTACAGCTAAGTGAATGAATTCGCCAAAAAGTGACTCTTCGATGAACTTTGTTGCTCTTATATACAAAGAAAATTGTTTACAAAAGCACTGACACAGATAGCTTAAGAAATAAACATTAGAGCTGCATTCCTGTGGACCCTTATGAACTGGGATCAAGATATTTCATAAATATTATCACAATGTAAACCAGTATAGCCTTACCAGTATTTTTAGCAAATTTTGAGATATCTGTACATTGTTGGCATTTAATGGTTGAGAAATCGCCATCAGCAGTCAAATAACATTAATATTATTATTCCAATGGGTTCCGAGTGGAACATAGAGTCTCATCTACACACCTCTACTTTGTTCTGTTTTCCGCTGTCCTGTTCTACTTGGCTCCTGATGACCCATAATCTCTCATCTCATCCTCGAACCCACACGATCTCCTCCATGTAATTCCCACACCGAAGACCCACTCGCCGTTTCCTACTGGTGTTCCATTCAACCAACCACCTGCGTTGTGCGCGATGCCATCTGACGGTCTCCACGGAGTGTACCTAATACATCTCCATTTTCTCCTACATATCTGTTGAACGATAGGTTCTCGGTTGGTCTGTACTCAGTCAGAGTTTCTTGTTGCTAATTGTTTCTGGCTCGCTGGCTGACTGGCCATTTAATCTTCAGTGTGAAACCAGTCAGAGAAAGGGGGCATCTGTTGATAAAAGTCTTCAGTGGTCGTGACTGACAGGCCAAGTTTCTGACCAGTATGGGAGAAGTGACTGACTTGAGATTTGTATTGAAAATCCGTATCTTGTTGTTTACTTTGGCTGAGTGAGACTTCTAATCTGGTTTGAGGCTGATGTTGGAGTACCTCGTCTTTCCGATTTTCTCTGGTTTTGATATCTTCATCCGTTCCGCCTGTGGTTGAAACGATAATTCCTAGAGATGTCAGTAAATTGAAGAATTACTACCTACACAATCATATAGGAAGTTAATCATGACATCCCTAACTGCAGCACTGGCTAATGTGGGTTCGAATCTCAAATTTGCTCTGCTTTCAGGGTAAGCCTCGCTGACGATTGCCAGCAGGGACTACGTGAAGCTCTGGACTTCCCAACTGATTGTCTACAGCTGTCTACTATCTCAGAGATTTGGATTTCTTTGTAAGGACTAACAGGAAAAAAACATTTCTGTAAAACTATATATTTTCAAAGCGTTTGTTCTAATCCCTTTCTGAAGCTACACATCCGCCAATTTGTCCAGATTATACAGATTTCTCCCAATCAATATAAGTGGGAAAAATCTGAAAGAAGCAACCTCCTTTCCCTACCTACCTAAAGCGAGGATCGAGAAAGGAAGACAAGCTTTCATTTCTCACAATTCTGTGTGGAGGTCAACAAAACTCAGTATGGAAAATAAGATCTAAATTTTCAACTCCAATATAAAGTCAGTGCTACTTTCTATGTGGATCAGAGACTTCGTGCCACGCCGCATCAAGAAGTGCACTTCGAACAAACTACAGACTTTCATCTGCAGCTGTCTTCGCTCAATACTCAAGATCAGATGGTCGGCCAGAAAAGATCAGCAACAGTGAGGGATCTGTGGCACTGAGCGAACCAATCTAACAGGAACCAGTTGTGCAATAAATATGCAGGAAGAAATGGAGGTGGATTGGATTGGCCATACTCTGAGAAAACAATCCATCAAGTGAGTGTTATCACATGCCAGGCCATCGCTCAAATGGAACCCGAATAGGAAGCAGTGAGTTGGTCGTCAGTGTGAGGGTGGCATGGAGGAGGTGATGTGAGGAGGAAATGAAATGATGTGGGAAGACGTGCAGCCAGGTGAAAACGTTGATGGAGAACAGTGCACACTGGAGACGTGTGGCTGAAGCCCTGTGTTCATTCAGGAACTAAAGGAAACAATAATAATAATAGTATGACTTTACGACTGGTTAGGCGTACATAGGAATACTATCTTCCTATTCTCTAAAAGAATACTCAAGCCTTCTGATGTGTTTAACAATGTAATTACGAAATCGGCTGTTACTTAGTTTTCTTAGTGAATGACTGAGCTCATGTCAAAAAACAAAGCTTGAAAGACTGGTTATATGGTATTATATGCGTATCCAAAGTAGTCTTTTAGATGGTTACACAGCAGTTGCCTATCACGAAGGTGATATTCGCACTAGTACTATGGCAAATACAGTTTAAAATAGGAAGGGTTATAATTAAGCAAATACTTAATCCAATAAGTTGTGTAGAACAAGACATACTGGAATACATGAGAATAAACTATTTTTCAAGAGATGACTTTTATAATCATGTTCAAAAGTTGAAAGATTCTTTCCCGAATGGCATATTTTTCAATCACTCGTTCATTTTTTTTTACTCTGATAAGCTTTCTCTGGAAATCATTCATTATATTTAGGAAGAAAAATGAACACTATTCATTTCAAAGCTTAGGAAACCCATTAGCAAAAAATTAACTAGCCAAAAACAATCTGTTTATACTATTTTGACATGGGAAAGTATGCTGAACGGTTTTGGTGTTATCAGAACTGTCTTGTGTTTAAGTATATTCATTTACTAGAGAAATAAATTGTTCAGAGAACCTAATCGGTAAAAAAACAGTATGATTGTTATCATAAGATGAAGTTCAGAAAAAGGCGACTGGACAAACAAATACAGTTCTCGATCAGTTTAACCGATCTTATGTAAAAGTCAGGCATTGATATTAGTGTTATTTTGTCAAATAGATTAGATTGGAGGATTTCATTATGCGCTGACATCAGTTAGAGAACCACTGGAAAAACACCAGGGAGTACTCAACAGACAAATGTTTCGTTGGCCTGATATGTGACTCTTCATCAGTACACACCCACCAGTCGGGCTCGAAACCAAGAACTCCTGATTACAAAGCTAGCGAGTTCGTAGACCATTCAGCCACTGAGGCTCACCAATGCAATGGTCAGTCCATGAATTCTAACTTCTGTCAATGCATGACATAGCGTGACCACTTCTCAATGTCTTCTTCGATGAGTAGCTGTCTTCTTGTTCGGCCTACTGCACCCTCCTGATTACTCTTTCCCACTAGAACCCCTGGTTGACTGCCTGAATAAGACCAGTTGCTAGTGAGCCTGCATTGTATCTCTAACCGATGTCAGCTCATGATGAAATCCTCAGACCAATCAAACAAAATCCCTACAAAACCAATACTTTATGATGTTGTTTTATTTATTAAACGGTCAATGTAGATAGTTCCATTTGAACAGCTTTCTTTCATCACTTTTCAAACAAAACCTCGCTATACATCTACTGTAAACAGCTAATTCAACAGTGGTTAGATATGAAATCAACTACTATTTAGGCTACCAGAAAGAAGTCCTCAACTCATCCCTTGCAAGGTTGGTGGAGATTGTCTTAAACAAACCAGATTATTAATATTATTATTATTATTAACCTTGTAATTCTTAGGCTTATTCTTTTATTTTGTCAGTGGAACTTATCTCTTACCAACAAATACACTCTAATTGCATGGAGGATTTAATCATGAGCTGACATCAGTTAGAGAACCACTGGAAAACCTGGGAGTACTGGACAGCCGTTTCGTCCTAGTTTGGGACTCCTCAGCAGTACGCACCCACCGGGATTCGAACCCAGGACCTTCTGGTTACAAGGCGAGCTCGTAGACCATTGAGCCACTGGGACCCGATCCAATGGTCCTCGAATTCTAACTTCTGCCAGTTCACGACATAGCGCGACCACTTCGCA